CTTCCATAACATGAAATGGTGTTTGTATTTAACATGGGGGCACCCTCCCCATGATTCATTCACCCATTCAGTCATTTATTCATTCACTTTTTGTTTGTATCTTTACATATGTGTTCACATGTGTGCCAATGTGTGAGTGTGCATGCATATGTATACATATGTATGTGTAGAGGCTGGAGAGCAAATTTGGATGCCATTCCTCAGGTGTTATTTATTTATTATTTATTTATTGTGGGGGGCACACATGCCAAGACACCCATGTTGTGGAGGCCAGAGGATATTCTCCTTTTGAGAGTCAGTTCTCTTCTTCCACCACGTGGGGATTGAACTCAGGCCATTAGACTTGGTGGCAAGCACATTTACCTTGTAAGCCATTTAATAGATCCAATATTTATTTATTTATTTAAAAATATTTTGTTATTTTTGTTTTGTGTGTATGAATGTGTTGCCTACAAGTATGTAAGTGCACCCATGTTGTGTAATGCCCATGGAGGTCAGACGAGGACATTGGATCCCCCGGAACTGGAGTTATAGATGGTTGTTGGCTACCATGTGAATGCTGGGAATTGAACCCAGGTCTTCTGCAAGAGCAGCCAGTGCTCTTAACCACTGAGCCAACTCTTCAGCCCTTATTTATTTATTCATTTTTGAGACAGGGTCCCACTGTCCTGGGACTCACCATGTAGGCTAGTCTGGCTACTCAGACTAGTAGTGAGCCCCAGGGACCTGCCTGTCTCTAGCTCCACAGCACAGAGATTACAAGTGTCCACCACCATATCTGACTGTTTTTTTAATACGGGTTCTGGAAATTTAACTCAAGTCATTGTGCTTGCAAGGTAAACCCTTTACCAATTGAGCTATCTCCCCAGCCCCCATTCACTCATTTGTATATATATGTAAGAGCACCCATGTGTGCAATGCCTGTGGAGACCAGAAGAGGGCATCAGATCTCCTGGAAGTTATGGATGATTGTTAGCCACCATACTGGTGCTGGGAATGGAACCCAGGTCCTCTGCAAGAGCAATAAGTGCTTTTAACTGCTGAGCCATCTCTCCAGTCTTTTTTTTTTTTAAGAATCTAACAAGACTTGCTTTAAAAAAATGTCTGTTTGTTTGTTTGTTTGTTTGTTTGAGACAGCTGTTCCCCCAGCTGGCCTGGAACTCACTGTGTAGAGCAGGCTGGCCTCAATCTCACAGAGATCCACCTGCCTCTGCCTCCTGACTGCTTGGACTAAAGGGACGCACCATCATGCCCCACCAAAGACACTCTTTTAAAGAAATATTCATTGTAGTTTGTATATGTTTTGCTTGCATGTATGTAAGTGCACACACATACATGCAGTTCCCACGGGGGCCAGAAGAGGGCATTGGATGTCCTGGAACTGGAATTACAGATGGTTGTTCATCACCATTTGTGTGCTGAGAACCAAACCCAGGTCCTCTGCAAGAGCAGCCAGTGCTCTTAACCACTGATCCTGTCTGCCTCACCAAGGAAGTATATTGCCTTTCTGCAGGATTTCTCTGGGTGCCCACAAACATCAGACTCCTTCTGGCCTCCAGAGGAAACCACCTCCTTCATGTAAAGGATGGTTAGCTTCTAGTCCATAGCCCACACACATCTGTTTCCCAGCCTTTCCTTCCCCCTCTAACTATTCAGTATTACATAGCCCCAACCCTGGAGACTCAGGAAAACAGACACCTCTGTCAGCCTGCTCCCTGGTCTCCCTGCCTCTGGGCTGTTCCCATAGCTTGGCTTTCCATATGCTCCTCTCCTCTCAATCCTTCCATGGCTCCTACTGGATATAGGCAGAAGCTCAGAAGACTTGATCTCCATCAGATGGCTCACAGGAGCCAAGCCACCTTTCCATCCTCAACTTCCTTGTCTTTATATAGTAATACATCTCAACTCTTATTTTTAAATATTTATTTATTTTTGTTTTATGTGTATGACTGTTTTGCATGTATGTATGTATGTATGTGTGCCACACATGTGCCTGGTGCTCACAGAAGCTAGAAGAGGGCATTGAAGCCCCTGGAACTGGAGTTATAGATGGTTGTTAGCCACCATGTGGGTGCTAGGAACTGAACCTGGGTCCTCTGCAAGAGCAGCCAGTGCTCCTCACCATTAAGCCATCTCTCCAGCCTCCTAAATCTTCTCTGTTTTATATTTATTGTTTGTGTCTGTGTGCCCTACGGCCACATATGTGGATGTCAGAGGACAAAGCTTAGGAGTTGATTCTCTCCCCCCACTATGTAAGATCTGGGAATCAAACTCAGGTTGTCAGGTGTAGCAGCAAGTGCCTTTATCCACTGAACCATCTTGCCAGCCTCACCCCAACTCTATGCAAATGGTCCTAGAACCTTCTTTTGCTGGTTTCTCAATTCCTACTTGTCACATACGCTTTTTGAAAGTGTCTCCTTGTTCTCCCCCTTCAACTTCTTTATTCAATCACAGTTCAAGAATTTTTATTTATTTTTATTTTATGCATATGAGTATTTCGCCTGCATGTATGTAAATACACTCATGTCATGAAATGCCCAAGGGGGCCAGAAGAGGGCACCAGAGCCCCTGGAACTGGCATTAGAGATAACTGTTAACCATCACGTGGGTGCTGGGAACCGACCTGCTCTACTGCAAAGCAGCCAGTGTTCCTAACTGCTGAGCCACCTCTCCAGCCTCCATACTCCGTTTATTAAAATAGGGTCTTCTGTTGCCTAGGTTGGCCTCAAACCTGACTATAGTGGAGGATGACCTTGAACTCATGACCTTCCTGCCTCCCCTTCTGGACTACTGGGATCAGGGGTGTACCCCCCACATATCTGACTGACTCATACCCCATTTTCATCAACCATGGGCCTTCAAGTTTGTGACTGTCTCTTTCCAGACCAGAAGGGCAGGGCTGGATCTGACTCATTGGTAGGGTCAGGGACCCACCAGACCAGAAGAACAGGTTCCAAATGGTTGCTGGATGCATCTTCCTGTCTCGCTGGGTTACTCAGGCTGGCATTCCGGGAAGAGGGATCAACCTGTGCTAAGGACTCAGGAAACATTTGTTACCTGCTCTGTTCTTCTGTAGCTCAGTTTGGCCTCGAACTCAAGATCCTCCATCTCAGCTTCCCAAATAGCTGGGACTAAAGGTGCCTGTGTGTGGCTCAATCCTTGTCATCTAATGTACCACCTAAAATACAAGAGCCTGTACGAGGGGGAGGAACCTGAACTCTCCCCCTCTGCTCACTTAGTTGTGACCCAATAGAAAATTTGCAGAAAGGGGTAGGCTGTGTCCCCCTTCATCTGCCCCTTCCCCCATTAAGAAAGCTTTTACGTTTTTTAAAACCTTTTATTGAAAATAACACATATATGGAAAGACCAGAAGACAGGTGTGAAGGCACACACCTGAAATCCCTGCATTTAGCAGAAGGATCAGGAGTTCAGGGTCATTCTAGGCTACCTTGTGAGTTTGAAGCCAGCCTGGGTTACGTGTCTCAAAACAAAACAAAAAGAACAACAACAAGTGGACCTGAGCATTCCCATATCAATTAATGTAATGTCTGGACCCCCCCCCACCACCCGCCAAGCACCTCACAGTCCTTCTTCTAGTTACTTGTCTCCAAGGATAATCATGGTTCTGAGTTCTAATTGCACACATTAGTTTCTGCAAACTTTGTGCCTTTCTTGAATGGCTCACATAACCTGCTCTGTTGTGCATTTTTATTACTATGCACAGCACTATATTTGTGATATCCTCCCAGCCACTGCAGGTAGCTGTCAACCATCATTTTTCATTGCTGTCTAGTATTCCATTGTGGAACTACATCACAATCTCCTTATTCCATTGAATTGTTCATAGTCATTTGGGCTGTTTCTGGTTTGTGGTTATTATGAGTTGTCTTACTAGGATATGTATTTAGGGGAACTTACACATAATTTCTTTTTTTCTTTTTCTTTTTTTTTTTTTTGGCCTTTTGAGACAGGGTCTCCCTGTAGCTCCAGCTGTCCTGGAACTCACTATGTAGACCAGGCTGGCTTTGAACTCACAGAGATCCGCCTGCCTCTGCCTCCCAAGTGCTGGGATTAAAGGCATGTACCACAACACCAGGCCCAATTTATTTCTTTTTTAATTAAAAAATTATTATTTCTATTTTATGTGTATTATTGTATTGCCTCCATGTATGTAAGTACACTCATGTCATACAATGCCTGCAGAGGTCAGAAGAGGGCATCAGAGTCTCCTGGAGTTAGGGACAGTTGTTAGCTGCCACATGGGTGCTGGGAACCAAATCTAGGTTCTCTGTAAGAGCAGCCAGTGTTCTTAACCATTGAGCCATCTCTCCAGCCCCCATTCTTTTTTAAATTAAAAAAATTATGTGTATGAGTATTTTTGCCTGCAGGTATGTAGGTGCAGCATGTATGCAATGCCCATAGAGGTCAGAAGGCATTGGATCCCCTGGAACTGGAGTTACAGACGGTTGTCAGTCACCATGTGGGTGCTGGGAACTGAACCTAGGTTCTCTGCAAGAGCAGTCAGTGCTCTTAACCACTGAGCCATCTCTCCAGCCCCTGTCGTTGTTTTCTTTTCTTGAGACAGGGTCTCATACTGTATCCAGGCTGGCCTTGAACTAGTGATCTTCCTGCCTCAGCTTCCTGAGTGCTGGGATAACAGGCTGGAGTCACCACCACATCAGATGAGAGGTTTCAAAGTGGTTGTTGTTTGGCTGTGAGGTGACCCCCAATGGCTCGTGTGTTGAAGGCTTGGTGCCCTGGTGGTTGGGCTGTTGAGAGGTGGCTGGATCTTGATGGCAGTCACCTCTGGAGATTGGTGAGTTCAGGACTAAATGGGCCTTTGGGAGGTGGAGCCAGTGGTGACAAAGAAGGACCAGTGGAAGGAAGGATGAATAGTGAGATGGAAGGCTGTGGGCAGTGGGCAGGACTCTGGTTCTTTTGACATCTTTTTTCAGGAGGCCCAGGCCAGGGGCTGACGAAGTGAAGAAGAGGGGCATTGCTTAGTTGTCTATGCAGAGTCCGAGGGATCCCCCCAGAGCGATGGCCAGTAGCGGAGCCACAAGGAGCAGGGTCAGGATTCGGGGCGCTCGGGGAGGGGCCAGGGCCAGGGTGCCAGGGAAGGTCTGTGTCACCGAGTCCCTGTTGCACAGGTGGCCCTCGCAGCAGTAGCCTTGTAGGTCAATGGATGTCCAGGGGCTGGTGGTGCCCATGGTGGTGCAGGACGGCCGGTGGCAGGTCCTGATGTACACCGGAACAGAAAAGTTGCCTGGATAGGCAATGAAGAGGGGTCAGGCGGGGGGAGCAACTGCACCCAAGCCCCATCTTAGAGGCAGGGCCAGTCCTGGGTTCTCCACATGCTTCAGGTCTCTCTGTAGACCAGGCCACCCCCCTCTCAGACCAGGTCATGTTCCTTCCTTCATACTACACTGTTTCCTCCTCCCTCAGACCAGGAAGGAACAAGGAGAGCCACACCTCCCTGTTAGGCCTGCCCGGTGCCTCTGCCATCAGGTCCACTAGCCTCCACGTTCCTGGCCTTACTTAGACCACCCCACCATTCCAGCCCCTCACCTATGTTCATCCGGCCATTGCCCTGGAAACAGGCGCTCTGGTCCTGGTGACACTGCACCCGACGGGACTTCTCCGGGGAGCAGTCTTCGGGGTTGACTCCCAGGCAGGCGTAGCACTCGGTGCCACTGAGCGTCGGGGGGTCAGGCGCTGGACAAAGACAGCGAATGTTCATTAGACAACTGCACCAGGGTGCCTGCCAAGTCCAGAAGCCTGAGGGAGGATGCCCAGTGTGGGGTCTCTCCCTCCCCTCGTGGGTCATTGGCCACCGATCCATGAGAACAAAGGGCGCAGAAGTGATGAACGGCGTCAGGACGGCCAGTGAGCACGACAGAAGAAAGCCCTTCCGGGAGGCAGATTCAGTGATACAGCTCCAGACTCAGTGAAACAGCTCCGTTTATTCAGTGGGGGTCAGGGAAAATATAGTGTGGAGGCAGCAGCCAAAGCTTCAGCTGACAGGTGCTCATAGTATGCTTTATTTACATGTGGTAGGGGGATCCTATCATCCGACTACAGGGCAATGCCTAATTATCATATAGAAAAAACCTGGGGGCAGTTTTATTGCAGGTAACTATGCCAAAGGTCATGTTCTGAATAAGGTCAAGCATCCGTGCTTGGAGGCACTTTCCAGGTAAGTCAGGCAGGAAACCCCTGCTGAGAAAGTAGCTGACCTGAACAGCAGGGTTCCCCAACAGCCCGGTAAAGGTCAGGTCTCCTCTCTCTCTCCCACTCTCAGTACCTGCACCCCACATACCTTGGCTCAAGTTGGGGAGGGTGTCATGGGTCTTGAGGTCAGTGTTGCAGAAGTCGGTGCCGCAGCCACGCACCACCGCGTAGTCGGGAGGTAGGGCGTCCTGGTTGGTCTGCATGGGGCCGGTGGTGGGCCCTGTCCAGCATCCCTTCCGGACCAACGTAACTGGGGCGCGGTACCCTGGGCAGGGGCAGCAGACACCTTCAGCCACTCTCCCTCCTCTGTCCCTGCCTGTCCTTGGTCCCCGCTCTTGCCACCCACCTTCTCTCCTCCCTCCTTCCCCTCTTCCCCTCCCACCCTACTATGAGTATTTTGCTTTCATGTATGTGAGTACACCACATGGGTGCCTGGTCACCCTCAGAGGCCAGAAGAGGGCATCAGATCCCCTGGAGCTGAAATTAAGGATTGTTGTTAGCTGCCATGTTGGTGCTGGGAACTGAACCCCATTCCTCTGCAATAGCAGCCAGTGCTCTTAATCACTGAGCCATCTCTCCAGCACCCCCTTTCTTTAAAGACAGAGCCTCATATAGCCCATGTTGGCCTTACATTTGCTATGTAGCCAAAAATGACCCTGAATATCTGATTTTCCAACTCCTGAGTACTAAAATTATTATAGGCCTGCTCTACCAAGCCAGGGCCCCTCCCTTCTCTCCTTCCCCTCTTCTCCCTCTGTGCCCTCCCACCTCCTTCCCTCCTTCTCATTTCTTGCCCCTCATCCACCCACCCCATTCCCTTTCCCTTATCTTCAATTCCTCCCCTCTTGTGGTGGTCTCTTTTTTCTTTTGTGATAGTCTCTTGTAGCCCAGGCTGTCCTCAAACTTGCTATGATGACCTTGGACTTCTCATCCTCCTTCAAAGTACTGAGTTTACAGGCTTGCACTACTGTGCCTCGTTCTCCCCACCCCCCAACAAGGTCTCGTCATGGTTGGACTTGAACACACATCCTTCCTGCATCCACCTCCAGCATGCTGAGATCACAGGTGTGTGCCACCATGCCCAGCCCTCATTTCTTCTTCTCTTCCTCCTGACCCCTCTTCCTCCTGGCCCCTTCCCCCTCCTCTTCCTGTCCCCCTACTCTCCCTCCTCCCCTTCCCCTTCCTCTTCCTGACTCCCTCCTCCTCCTGCCCCCTCCTCCCATCGCCCTCCTCCTCCTGACCCCTTCCTCCCCCTCTCCCTCTCCCTCCTCCTGTCCCCCTCCTCCCCTCCTCCTCCTGCTCCTCCCTCCCCATTCTTCTCCCGTTCTCTTCCTCTCTCCTCTCCATATTCTCTCACCCTATCCCCGTCTCCTCCTCCCTTCTCTGGCTGCCCACCCATGTCCTTTGTCTCCCCGCTGGCCCTCACCAGTGTCCAGTGACAGGACCACCTCAGAGCATCCTTGGGGACAGGAGACGCTGGGGAATGTCATGGCGCTGAGGTCGAAGGGCCCAAAATAGGTGTGCTCGTAGCTGTAGCACTGCAGGGCCTGGGAGCCTAGGAGAGGGGCGGGTGGATCAGCAGGTCAGGGAAGACTGGCCCAGGACCCCGGGGCTGGACTCTGCCCAACCACACATGCCAGGCCACTGTGCTCTGTCCCTGGATAGAACAGCATCTGCCTTTGCAACCTCTCAGGGCCTAGTCAACTTTACCACCAGCTCCTCATGGCTCTCCATCACCAAGCCCCAGGTAGTTCCAGAGTACCACCCTGCTCCTCAAAGCCCTTGGTGATTCAGATAAGGGAGAGGAACCAATCCCCTCCTGCTCTACCCATTGCCCACAAGAGACCCCCAAACCACCTGTGCTCCATGATAGAAAGAGAGTGGTATCTCTCACACATATGGCCCGAAACACAGCTGAACTCTGGCAAAATAACAAAACTGACACAGATTCATGGGAACTGCTCCCTAAACACAGGTAGGGCAGCCTAAACACAGCACTGTGTTCCTCAAACTCTTGAAGATCAATTCTTGCTGGGCCTTCTGGGACAGACACAACAGGCTTAGGGCTGATAAAGTCATCATGGGAGAAACCATCTCAGATCAATGATAGAGGACTGAGGGACACAGAAGTGGAGAGAGGGCTGGCAAGATGGCTCAGCTGGTAAAGGTAGTTGCTGCCAAGCCTTACGACCTGAGTTCCATTCCTGGGACCCACATGGTGGAAGGAGAGAATTGACTCCTGTAAGTTGTCCTCTGATCTCTACGTGTGTGGCATGGCATGTGCCTCCCCCAATAAATATAATAAAAAAGGAGAGAGAGAGAGAGAGAGAGAGAGAGAGAGAGAGAGAGAGAGAGAGAGAGAGATCACATGCACAGTAAGAGACCACAACCATGCAAAGTTAGAAATAATGCCGTCCCTTGGGAAGCCAGCTCAGTGGGTAAGGTACTTGTTCTATAAGTCAGAGGACTGAAGTCCAAACCCCAGGAGAGGCCGTCTACCTGTAACCCTAGTGGAGAGACGGGGAGACAGGAAATCCCTAGAGCTGACTAGCTAGGCCAGCTGAAACAGCGAGCTCTTGGTTCAAATGAGAGACCTTGTCTCAATATATAAGGTGGAGAGAGATGGAGGAAAACATCCAACATCAACCTGTGGCTTCCACATACATATGTACACATAGTATGGACACAGGCACACAACAAATAATAGAAAAAAATGACACCATCAAAATAGTTTAAAATCAAAAGGCCAGGCAAGGTAGGGCATGTCTTTAATCCCAGCACTCAGGAAGCAGAGGCAGGTGGATCTCTGAGATCAAGGCTAGCCTAGTCTACATAGCAAATTCCAGGCCACCTGAGGCTACAGGGAGACCATGTCTCAAACAAACAAACAAACAAACAAAAAACACACAACAAAATACTTAAAAATCATACACAGAAACAGGATATACAAAAACAAATAAATCTGTAGAGAGAAAAACACATATTGTAATGCCCAAACACATGTACACAGAGATACAGACATATAAATCACACTGTATGTACACACACAGTGGACACAGATATGCAAAATTATACATACCTCTATTTTTTTTCAAAGAAAGTGATAGTCAGAAACAGAGCTACAAAGCACTTTTTTGAGACATGGTTTCATGTAGCTCAGACTGGCCTAAAACCCACTATGTAGCTGAGGCTGGCCTGTGTACTAGGATTACAGGCATGTACCATGTAAAAGCACTTAAAAAATTTAATTACATTTTATTTATTTGTTGTATGTGTGTATGTGTGAGGGTGCAATCATGTTGTGGTATGTGTGTGAGGGTCAGAAGACAATTTTTAGGAGTCAGTTCTCTCCTTCCACTATGTGGGTCCTGGGAATCAAACTCAGGTTGTCAGGCTTGGAGGCAAGCAGCTTTACCTGCTGAGCCCTCTTGCTGGTCCCAAAACAGTTAAAACAAACAAATAAACAAATGAACACCAAATTAGATACTGATAGAGAGAAACATAGAGACCAGCAAGTGCCAGGCTGTGGCTGGGACTGTCTCCCTCAGGTGAGCAGATACACACAAATTCATCTGCACACAGGAAGGGCCTCCTTTGTGTCTAATTCTCTCCTTATAACCCTTTCATGTTCAAGTGAGTGGGTCCCTGTAGGCAAAGAGGACCCAAAGCTGAAGTCAAGCCCCCTGTCAGCCCCAAAGTGTTCTGATCGTTCCCCAGAAATACCCTTGGATGAGGGGGTGAGAAGGAGAGGAAGACCAGAGTGGCTGGAACCAGAGTGACAGAGAAGAGATGCGAGGACAGCAGACATGGCCTCTAGCCAGCCCCAGGTTTAGGAAACCAGGCCCTAGTCCTCCTCCCTCAGACCCAGGATCCAGACTCCAGCCCTCCTCCCTCAGACCTAGGTGTCCAGTCTCAAGATCCTCTCTCAGACTCAGGAGTCCAGGCCCCAGTGTCCTGTCTCAGACCTGGGGGTCCAGGCCCCATCCTCCTCCTTCAGAACCTGGGGTCCAGGTCCCATCCTCCTCCCTCAGAACCTGGGGTCCAGGTCCCATCCTTCTCCCTCAGACCCCAGGGTCCAGGCACAGCCCTTCCTAGTGGGCTCATAGTAGGTACCTGTAAGGCAGAGTGTCATCCCGAAGAGGCAGAGCAGAAAGGTCCTGGGGTTCCCCATGGCACCTGTGCAGCTGAGCTCTGACACCTAGGACAGCTCCTATGACTCTGGCTTGCTGTCCAGCTGGTTTTCCCTGCTGATTCCTGCCTGGCTGGGATTCCTCCACCCCACCCTTCCACCCTCCCTTATGTGGGCTGTCTGCTCCCAGGTAACTGTGGGGAGGTGAGGCTGCTGAGATAGGAGGGGTTGGGAATCAGGTGGGTCTGGAGGAAGGTATTAAGGATCTGAAACCTTGATTTGTGTAATTTCACTGGCTCATTTCTATCCTCTTCCCTAACCCCACTACACACCACCCACTCAGGCATACACCACTTTCAATGATGGGGCCATGCTTCCAGTTGGACACCTGAACATCAGTCTCTCCTTGGACTCCATCTCTGGATTCCACCACCTTTCCTCAGCCTCTAGCATCTCCCTGTCTCCCTGCCATGATCACATAGGGTAAGATGCTGTTTGGCAATCCCATTAAGATGGGAACTCCTCCTCAGCCCTGAGGGATATTTATGAGAATGAATGAATATGAATGAATTGAAAGAGAGAGAGAGAGAGAGAGAGAGAGAGAGAGAGAGAGAGATCATACATGAGATGCAAAAGACATGCTGGGGAATGTGGCTCGGTGGGTAGAGTGCTAGGCTAGCATACCCAAAGCCCTGGGTTCCATTCCCAGGACTGTGTAACTAGGGTGGTGTGCACACCTGTCAGCCCAGCACTTGGGAGGTGGAGATAAGAGGATCAGATGTTCAAGTTCGTCCTCTTTACATAGTGAATTTGAGGCCAGCCTGGACTACATGAAACCCTGTTTCAAAACAAACATTTGTAAAGAGAAGCTGATGATGTGGCTCAGTTAGTAGAGTGCTTGCCCCGTGTACATGATGCCCTGGGTTCGATTCCCAGCACTGCATAAAATCAGGCATGATGGCCCGAGGGCCAGTCTGGGATACATGATGGTCTATCTAAAATAATAATAGGAGAGATAGCTTAATGGTTAAGAGCACTGACTGCTCTTGCAGAGGACCTGGGTTCGATTCCCAGAACCCACCCAGTTCTAGGGGATCTGATGCCTTCTTCTGACCTCCATGGCCATTGCATGACATGGGTACACTTACACATAAAGTAAAAATAATAAATAAAATTAATAATAATAATAGAGGTACAGGGAGCCAGATGTGGTGGCATATGCCTTTAATCCCAGTACTCGGGAGGCAGAGGCAGGCAGAGGCAGGCAGATATCTGTGAGATTGATTGAGGTGAGCCTGGTCTACATAGAGAGTTCCAGGCAGGCTGAAGCTATGGGAGACCCTGTCAAAAAAAAAAAAAAAAAA